GAATCTGTGCTTCCTCACAGCCGAACGGAACTGAGGGGTACGAAACATGCCCAAACTGACGGAACGCCAGGCAAACCTGAGATTTTTTGAGAAATTTCGAAAAAATTTTTAATTTCTCTCCGGTTTTCAGTTGAGAGATATATTTCCCATGAAAAAATTGCCTTCCTGCAGTTTCTGTCACGTTTTTAAGGACTTAGGACTAGTCGTGAATGACCAACATTTTTGGAGAACTTTTGTTGTAAAGCTTCGGAGGTCGTGCGATTATCATTTTTTCTTCAGACCCCGTATGTGTTGTTGGAGATTTCTTTGCATACGCTTTGACCCCCATTTTATAGTGCTTAATATGATACAAGTGGTTTGTATTAATCTTTGACTTCATGGCCGCATCAGGCACTGACGTGGATGGAGAATTTTCAAAAAACGATTCAATCGTTTTTAACTTTTGAGGGGTCGATATGATGGTTTTTTTTCAAATGGTGGTTATTTGAAGTTTACATTTTCGGGTTCTCCATACTTTTTTATGTATATCCTAATTTTTGCATGGCCACACCCTTCCCTGTTGAAATGTAGCCAAGCCTTCTTCGAGTCTTTGTCGCTCAGATTTTCGTACTTACAAAAAACTCGTTTCCCGACTTCCTCGCTTTGAAATCGTGTACGAAATTTATTTTCCAATGAAAACTTATGAAACTTTTGTGGCATGTGGCTAGATATATTTGGCGCATTCCACAACAATTTCAGATTTCAAAACGTATTTTTCGACCGCTCCTGTACGAAACTACCAAGTGATCAACACCCCATGGCGAGAGCCCTATCTTTGCCACCCTTTTCGTACCATGAACTATGAGCCAGCAGAAATTTACCGCCACATTAATTTCCCCGCGAATTAGGGTAAAATGAGAAAACGCATCAAATATGCTAATTTGGACAGATTTTGCAACGGTAAAACTCAATGAGATAAATTTCAACGCTAAACACGAATATGATATCAGTTTATAATTGCAACGCTTGAGTAGATGAGGTCACAGGTCACAAACGGCGAGAATGTATCAGAGGTGTCAAGTTTAGCAAATATTTGACGGGCAAAAACAATATCATCTACAGTTTGACGTATGACGGGCCTCACCCCTTGATTACATTCGTTTGCAATAATTTCATAGCCGTGAAGAAAGGTGAGAAAGTTGAGTTCATAATTCAGTTTTATCTACGTGTTAATCCGTGGCATGAACTGAGACATTCGTCTATTTATTTCCGAAGTGTAAATAAATTAAAAAAGAATTGATAATTTTTGCCAATTTTAAAATTGAATTAATTCCCAATGAAGTACTATTTTTGAAACGCATTATTGTATGAACTTTTCAAAATCGTAGCATTATTTTTAAGAGTGTACAAAATGGAGGTGATTAGTATGGTATTTACTTCTCAGGAAGGAGAGCAGCGGACACATGAAGCTTGTGCAATTCGTGATGAGACGCGATCCCTCCCCAATGTCAAACATGGACAGCAACGAGGCCAGAATGGTCAGCAGAGACCAGTTCGCGATTAAGATGTTGATGCATCTGTAAACCAAAAATAGATCGAAAGTTTGATAACTATTGTATAAATGTCATCGATAAGATGATAGGCTTTATCTGCAACCTTTAAAAACATATCCACAAAGTCTCCAAACAAGGGAACTTTGAGACAAACTTTTGCAAAGTCTAAAATGTATCGTTTCGCAATTCAAAAACACATTAAACTGAATTCTTAGCAAATTTGGCACTGCATCTCATTTTCATTTAATAAAATGATGAATGAATATTTGAGAACAAATTTATTATGCGAAATGGCAAAAGAGCGCTTAAAAACGAAACTTTCGTAATACCAAACAATAATATTAAAGTACAACAGGTAGAATTTATCTAAAAGCTCTTGAAATTGATGACATTCTAGCAATATGTATAAAATTACATTGAACTGGGGTAGAGTGAGATTAAAAATCTACCCCATACCAAATGGTCACGCACTGTAATCTTACTTTCTCCTAAAACTTGGATGAAATATTTCGTAATTTGGAAAAAAAGAGTAAAACGTCCGAAAAACATATTAATTTGTAATGTCATATCACATTAATTCAGCGCAAAACCTTTTAGTATGTTAAAAAACTTACCTGGGCTTCTTAGTCTTCAGCACTATTCCAAGAATCCACCCGTTAATCACCACCGAGCTCACGCAAACCATGGTGGTCAGCCGCTTGCAGAACGCTTCCATTCACGCCGTGCGGCCCGTCCTGAAGACGGGCCGCACGAAATTATTTTTTAACGTTTCTAAACAATTTTTTTCGACGTTGCTAAGGAATTTTTTTACGTTGCTAGAGAATTTTTTTTATTATAATCATAACCATAATTATAATCATAATCATAACCATAATCGTAATCGTAATCATAATCATAATTCGTATCTGCTCCCTGATTGGCGAAGCAGAAATGTCAACAGCCAATCAGAATGCAGGAATGTCCCGGAAAATTTCACGGGACAGATTTTTCGGAATTATAATATAGATTTTTTTTTTTTTTTGTTAACAAATTTTAATTTAGTTTGAATATAAAATACACTTATTATTAATAATTATATTATATTAATAATAATATAGATTATATTATATGTATGTACTACAGAATAATTGGGTAACACGCGTTGATATATTGCTTTTCAAGCAGTAAATGGAATCCCGAATTTTTTCCATGCAAACTACACAAAATCCCTGCTAAGTTTAACCTTCACGAAGTTTACGCTACTCTGGATTAATTAGTTAATTGATTAGTTAATTTATTAATTTGTTAATTGCGAATTGAAACCACACGTATTTACTTTCCATCAAGGCAAAATTATCTTTTAGAATGAAGATAACAGATTTCATCATGAAACACGGGTTTATACACGTTCGTTGTGCACGGCTCATTTATTTGTCACAAAGAAATGAAATGCATTCTTTTACCGACCTGAGTACTCATATTACACAATTCAAAAGGAAGGGTGCAATGCATGAAATCAGGGTAATCTCTTCCGTCGCAATTTGTCACATGTTTACGAAATAGCACTACATTCACACAACGTAAACAAAATTGTTTCATTCTATCTCAAAACTTTTTGAAATCTGTACCCATCCTTAAGAATGCCATTCGATACTTTGTTTCTCAGTGATAAACTTGTCAATGACACAATTACTAAAGGAGACCGATTATTTGAGCAGGTAGAGTAATAGATGTACTCTAATCTGTAAAATTATTTAATATTAGTTTAATCAAATCTGGTTCGAACTGATATTCGGGAGATTCACCTGACGTGTCGACCATTTAATCAGATGTATCCGTCCGTCCGCATTACTCAATAGCTATGTCATAATGGAAATGAGAGACTATGTATGGCTCAGCCCCCAATCCTACGCCTTCTTGCAGACTCTTAAAAATATGTAATTCTACGCTTTTGCAAAGTAAACCCACCGTTAATTCTATAATAAACAAACTTATGTTTGCCAAGAGTAACAATCGCTTAAATAACAGATTACAGCAGACTCTGAATTTTCCCATAGCTAACTAACTGACATATGTACAGTTTCCTATTTAAAAGGGTAACCTTATTTTTTAGAGAGCATGGAATCTGCAGGTGTGTCTAACCTAATTAGTTTCAATCTTGCTGACAAAAATATTACCCAACGAAAAGGTGAGAAACGTAATGCTAACATACATATGTGGAAAAGATACCTTAAAAGTGAAATACGTAGAACTTTCCAAGCAAGCCCTCTAACTGCCTGATATTGTTTACTTATTGGATAATCCAGCGTTGACCAACACAATCTAATTCAGAAAATTGGACGGTAACCATACCTAGGGTGACGCATGACGCTGTGGTCCAGCACGTACGCATATTTCTCACAAAAGCAATATTAGATTTTGTACGGATTGGAATTTAATTAAAGCTCGGTATTTTGTAATGTTACCAGGTAAAAGGTTGGTTGTTGGTTTTAGCGATTAAAATAACCCGCGACAAATGAACACTAAAAAGCAGTGTTATATTGCTATACTCGTCTCGATTTATCAAAAAGTTTTCTCATTTAGAAAACGTGACCACTGCTTTTTCCATCCGACTCTGACAATACCAAATCCATCGTATCAATTTGTGATTTAAAATAAGAGACAAATGAAGGTTTAATATGTTCCAATGTATGTATGTACACTCTTAAAAAAATCAATAACCGTTGGTATTGATTCGTGACTCTACCGCGTTTAAAAATTTAATACCAATTAGTTAATTAAATTAATTAATTAATTAAAATTATTACCACGAGGTATAATTTCAATACTGGTTCTATACCAATATGGTATAACCGTTTAATACCAAGGCGGTAGAGTCACGTATCAATACTGTTAGTTTTTTTTCAAAACCAGGTTTGAAGTTATCAAGTGTTTCTTTTCTCATTTTAAAGACATAAGTCCAAGGTCGAGCTTAGGGGCCAGGGACGTAGTTTTACTTGGACCGTTCATTTGTAGGGAAATTTTTTTTAGGATCCGGCGTGAATTCAGCCGAGTTCAGGTTTTGTGCGCCTTCGTGAGTTTTTGTGACCTTTTTGACCGTTCCCTTCAACTCGGTTTCCGGTTATCAACACTGCCAATGTTAGTGGATCATTTTATGGTATGGTCGACCATCTTGCAATTAGTTCCGATTTTTAATGATCTATTGAAAAATGCCGAATTTTTATGTTTGCAAAAATGTTTCTGAAAAATTGCAACACGTCGATTTCTCCGATCTGTCATTTTAGCACCTTGTATCACAAAAAATTTCGGAAGATGGTTTCTGATAGACAATTGCATGGGGAATTCAATAAAAAATAGTACAACTGGCTAACGTAACTGCTACTGATGTTCTTTGCGCGCGGAATGCTTGAGACAGAATATATGGCAGTAGTAGGTAGTATAATTGTTGGAAAGAAAAACAAAAAATAAATAATGCATGCGTTTTAAATCCTCGGTTTTAGTTAATGTTCATATTTATTTCCAAAGAAAAATACTTCAGTGTAAAATCTTTTGAAGAAACATAAATATGGAGGTTCATCCAAAATTAAATATTTTTACATCCAGTTGAATGCAAAGCCTCCTTGTGTAACTGATGAGTCAGTTTTGAAAATGATAACCCCCAGACCTGTCTCTAACATGATCGGAGGTGGAAGGGCCGATCCACAAACTCTGTAATTAAATACAAAAATATCTATTATGCAAGGAAACATGATAAAAATTCTGCACTTGCTACGCTAACGCCTGAGATAATCTAGGTAAAAAATAATCCCAGAATGGGTCACTTTTGATTTGTGCTTTCCAATCAGCTTGTAAACTCACCGTGCTTCTGAGTGTAAATGGTCCATAGACACGGACCAGCTGAAGACTTCGACTGAATCGTAGATGCAGCCCGTGCTGTCTTCCACATCCATGCCGGTGAAGGTCAAGGTGCGACTGCCTGATTCGGAGGGGCTGACGATGAACACGGCGACTTCGTCGTCCATGTACGGCTGCCCGTTTCCTGGATAAGCTGTAGCTCCGGTTGCTGCCTGGAAAGTCTCATAATGTGTAAAGCCGCCACCACCGGCGTCAAGGTCGCCACTGGAGTACATCTCTAGGCTGAAGCCACTGCTCGCGCTCGCCCCAGTTACCAAGGTGACCAGGACGGTGCCCGCGGAATACGTATAGTTAGCACCAACTTCGGTCCTGTAAATATATAAAATTATTATAAGGGCTCGCCTCACGTTAGTCTCTCATATACTGTCGTTCCCCAAAGTTACAAATAAGTTAAGCAAAATTTGACATACTTAGATAATTAGTTATCCTGATTTTACCATTATATGGTAAAATTTCAGGTTTTCAGATTCCTGTACATGCTACATAGAATCATGATTTACTTCCTTACACTAAAATCTCTCTGTGTACATTAACGTGAAATCTCATCTACCCAATAATTTAAAATCTACGAGAGATCTACTAAAATTAACTAACTGCAAAGCACCTACTTAAAATCATACTTGGATCCTCAACTAAAATCTCACGACACCTTAAATTAAAATATTACTTTCCCCCTTACACATTGTATTGATATCCCGGAACAGCACCGATGAATCGAGTCAATTTGAGACTATCACCCATGCCTAGGCCGGATTCCTTAAGGGTGAAACGGATTGCGTCATAGGGGGCTTGCACCGTCCAGAGACAGACCTGTCCAGCTGGAATTGATTCTCCCAGTTGGAAGTTAATTGCGGCCGAGGACGTGTTAACTAATCCACCACAGGTTGTAACTAAGCAACGAGAAAATTATTATTTCGTAAGAGCCCCCACATCATACGATTGCTGACATGGACATGCATAGATGTTTTCATAAATGTATAATACACAAATGTGCTTTTATCTTACCTGTCGCCACCGGTTCGGGATCCTCATCAACCAGAATGGCGGACGGGGCGGCTAGAATTTGAAAATTTAAATTGTTATTCAATAAACCTAATATTTAATAATCACCAATTTTGCATTTTATTTATTTTGCTAAATTTTCGAAACGTAACGTTTCTTCCATTAAACCGGGACATTTAGAACTAAAGAAATCAATCTGAAGTTAATAAAGATTTTCCATCTCTTATTTGAAAGTTACGAATTACAGATATTCATTTGGACTAAATTCGAATTTACGGTGGAAAATAAATAACCAAGCAACAAAAAATTTAGTTAATTAGCTTAAAGCAGGTCAAAACCTTGACTCTAATAAAAACTTACCCGTCGCTACGGCAACCACTGCAATAAGGAAAACTGCCAGAGTGTTCATGTTTGTGTCCTGGGATTTGATGACTCCGTGACCGACTGAATCGCTTAAAACGGGGGCATCGGTTTTATACCCAGCGTTCGGGATTTCCAGTAGCGTACTTGACGCAAAAATAGTATGGTTTATCTCAAAATTGATCCGTTTTCATCATCAGTGTCAATCAATTCAGTCTTTACGTAAACCCTTGTTACGTGCATGACTTATAACGTACGCAAACAGAGTACCAAACCGCGTATACAAATAATTTTACAGTGTCGGCGGAACGGAATTAATTGAGGGACACTAAGAGCACCAAATACATCATTACAAAATTCGAGTATTTGTCGGAAGGTTGTGGCCACAGTACCGCAGCTCCCTACACATTACATAACTCGGAGCTTGTCTATTTATTTATAATTGATGTTCGCTCGATTCCAACCTGGAATTTCCAGATTACCTTTATGTTCCAACTGGGTCACATTGGAGGCTGTGCGTTGCGTACGACTCCAGTTTTTATTTTGACAACAGTTTAGTGTAAGCCGTTATAGAAAATTTAGATGTTCAAAAGTTTGTGGCGTTTGACTTAACTCAGAGTCTCACAATCTTTGTCTTTATTGTTAACCTGCCGTCTATAGCAATCTGAAAAATACTATAAAACCTACGGGAAAGACTTCACATAGCCCGAGTCAGCCCAAGTTGTGGTTCTCACCCAATCCGACTTTTGTGAATGAAATTTAATCCAAAGGCATATCAATAAATTAAAAAGTTTAAATTATTTTTCCTATTTGAATTCATATTCTTCCATTAGTAACAATTAGCATCCTACATATGTATCAAATGTCAGCTGGATCCGACGATAACAAAAAACCCGTTTGGGTTACACGATGGAGTCGAACTTTATGAAAATAATTCCTATTTTAATTAATATCCTTCCATTAAGAGCCATTACCATATTTTCTTCCAAAATTCAGCTCGATTTCATGAATTAAAAAAATTGGCATGGATCGCCCCATTTGGTCTGTCCAGATCAAAATGCGCATGACTTCAATCCTTTACTCTTCCATTAGTAGCCATTAGCAATCCCCACGCTAAATTCCAACTCTACTAGATGGGTTTTAAAAATTGTTATACATAGGTAACCCCCCTAGAGTCCTTTAACATGAAGATTTTTACAATTTTATTTTATATTTTTTCATGACTTTATATTCTATCACCAGAGCGATTATCAACCTCTATACCAAATTCAAACTTTCTACAATATTTGTTAAATTAATCGCGATACCGGGATTGTGTTCAATATGTGACAGCGCAATTTTCAGTGCAAGGCCCACAGACCGATAAGTGCCAGCATCATGCTTCTGTATAAGTCCATACTCCTCTCCCTCTCTCTCTCACAAATGCGATGATTTAACAAATGGCAAATTGAGTGAATTTGCAATAGATTATGTCAACATTAATTTATCTCCCACTGGAGCACACCTGTGAATTATGTAATTAAGTAAAGTTGAACTTGACTTAAATTTAGATACTTAATTCTAGTTAAGTCACTCTTATAGCTACATAACTCATTGAAGGTTTGTGTTCTCCAGCTACGTCAGAAACTTAAGAAAAGTATTTGTAGTTCAGAAACAAAATTAAAATCCGTCTTTGAACACAACAAATTAGAAAAGAAGGTTTATGTTTCTTTAGCTAGTTTTCTGTATGATGTTTTATCAGATAGCTTGATTGAGTTCAATTTTAAATCAAATTTGTCGAACCTGTGGTATTACGTTTCCCGAAATATTAAACAAGATATTGTTTTAAATATTTATTTTATTTTGACTTGTCAAAAGACAAAAATATGTATAATATGTGAACAACTATAACACATTACAAATGGTATATTTCTACATCCAGTTGAATGCGAAACCTCCAGAAGTCACGGAAGAATCCGTCTTGAAGATTATAACTCCTAGACCTTTGTCTAACGCGATTGGTGGTGGTAGCTGTGTTCCGCAAACCCTGTAATTATAGAGGAATGCAAACCTAATTCCTCCAAAAGCTAATGAAAACCTAGTTAGGTACTTTAAAGATTATGACCCACCTTGCTTTCGACGAGAGACCTCCCATTTCCCAGGCAAAAACTTCGACCGAGTCGTAAATGCAGCCTGTACTACCTTCCACATCCATCCCTGTAAAGGTCAGAGTGCGACTTCCTGCTTGAGAGGGGCTCACGATGAAAACCGCTGTCTCGTCGTTGTTGTATGGAAGTCCGTTACCCGGGTAGGATGTAGCTCCGGTTGAATTCAGGTAAGTAGCATAATGGGTGAAACCACCCCCACCGGCATCAAGGTCGCCACTTGAGTACATCTCGAGGCTGAAACCACTATTTGCGCCAGCTCCGGCTTCCAAGCTCACGAGAACTGTTCCCGCGGTGTAGGTGTAGTTAGCTCCTACTTCAGTACTATTAGACAAATTATTACATAAATTTATTACATAAACCAAAATTGGACATAAATTTGCCAAATTGTTTTCAACTCCCATGGAACTAATTAGGATAGCAACAAATTTAAAATATGCGACAATCCTTTCCACATCTAATCAGTTTCTAATCAGTTTATCTAATCGTCTGATCAGTTTGATTTGGACACAATTTTACTTGGTTGGTTTAAAATCCACCGTTATTTAAGCCCCTTCCGCTACCGAAATGTTATCCTACCCCGAAAACGTATCTCACTCTGCCTCTTACACATTGTATTGATATCCTGGAGTGGCTCCGATAAATCTGGTCAGTTTCAAACTATCCCCGCTTCCAAGGCCGGATTCCTTCAAGGTGAAACGAAGTGAGCCATAGGTCGCTTGCACGGTCCACAAGCAGACTTGGCCAACTGGAATGACTCCACCCAATTGGAAATTGATCGCGGCTGAAGATCCATTAACAAATCCACCACAAGTCGTTACTAGAAATAGTGTCAAAATGGTTTAGATATTAAATTTACACATGGTTAGAGCTTTAAAGTGTAAAGATTTCAGACCATTCACGACTGGGACGGGATCCTCGTCAACCAAAATCGCAGATGGCGCGGCTAAAATACAAAAATAACAAAATAAATCCCGTAATATACTTTAAAATGACTAAAAATCATGCCAAAATGAACAAGCGGCAAAGTACGATAGATTAACTAATAAATATTTAAAACGCATGAAACTCTATAACAAAATGACAAGAAAATTTAAATGAAGTTAAGGGAAACTAAAAAAAAACTTGAAAATAAAAAAATCTTTAAACAGCCTTACCCGTCGCCACGGCAACCACCGTCATAAGGAAAACTGCAAAAGTGTTCATTTTTTATGTATATCGTAACCCGACTTAGTGACTGACTGCCTCATTAAAAACTGGGCTTCGGTTTTATACCCGGCGTTCCAATGGATTTACAATCACTTGCCTGACGCAAATGCCCATTGTTTGGCTAATTATCGGTCCATTTTCATCACACAATCGATCAACCTACGTCCGGTCCAGTCTTTACGCTTTACGCGACCATCACCGACGCAGTTTACATTGTGTTTTGTCAACTTATACCTCACTCACTTGAACACAATGTCTAATTAAGTACCTTAAAAGTAACATCCTGTGATAATAAACCAAAGTTCAGGTACTGATTAGAACTGAAGACCCATTTTAATTTAATCCACTCCACGACCCAGTTGCAAATTACCTGTGCGTATTTACATGCAATTAAGCAGTAGCTTATTGGGTTGTTTGGCAGAAAATCCATTTACATTTACATAATCTCAAGTAGAATCCCATTAAATAAATACGTACTTACCTGACATATATAACACTTACAAAATATAACCAATAAATCAAGTCAAACCTACACTCTAAAAAGTATGCTTACGATTACAACCCAACCTAACCAAAAAGTTAAGATACTAAGCATGTACCACTTAATATGAGAAATCTTCAAACGCTCGCGCGAAAAAACTGGCACAATTTACGCAAACCCGGCCTAAACTGTTTGATTGACAAACCAATTAGATAAGACTCTGATTTTTTTCTACTCTAAATTCTGAAAAATAGCTCCACCATGAGCATTTTAAGTTGAGGCACACTGAAAAAGTTTTCCAGTCAGAATTTCACCGGAAATGTGATAAAAAAGGCGGAATTCACGTGGGAATGAAAGTTTTTTGGCCTCAATTTACAGAATAATAAATGTAGGAGGTGTTAGAAGACGAGTCATTAATCAGGGACTGCCTCCTCCCTCTATAAACCGCCCCCTAGTAAATCGGTCGAAAAAGCTAAAAACGAAGCTCAACCGTTTGATCGACCAGGAAATCCCAAAGAGCATTCGCAGTATGGCGAAACCACTAAAACCGAATCCCACAACTATTCAAAGAGTCATGAAAAAAGATTGGGACAAAATCAAACGGACGAAGACAAAACCGCATGCGTTGAACCAGCGTCATTTCGTTAATCGCAAGTTTCAACGCTAAAAAGCGCTAAGAGAACTACCCTGCTGGAGGTGCGGACGAATAGGTGGTCACAATCGACGATGCTTTGTCCAGGGTAGATGACCGTGACGGGAGAAGGTCAACTTGCTGCGCGTCGTAGAGAAAATGTACAAATTAATTACGACTTTATATGGGCTTTGGAAAAGTTTTTTGGACAAGTGATTAAAAATAAGCCTTTAAAAGTGTAAGAAAGTGTTTTCATTAATCTATAAGCGCTGCAGACTTGTTGACTAGAATTAGGGACATCACATAGAGGAAGTTAGTTACCTAAAACAAATCATATGTGGATGCGAAAAATAGTTGAAGTCTTCTCAAAATAAGTGATACACCCTCTGTATGTATATGACTCCACCGTCACTTTTATAAATATATCACCAACTGGTTATAAATCCACCAATTATTACGAGTTATAATACAAGTTTGCTGCCCACGATCAGCTTTGCATCTTTAATAGTACTATCCTTTTATTGCCCACACCTCAGTAACTAATTTAATACCATAGTAGTAATAAATTTATGAACAGTCGCTGACAAATTTATATCCGTGGTGGTGGAGTCTTATCCTTCGGACTTTTTGGCTATAATCATAACCCCAGTTTTTAGAGTGTAAATACATACATACATTCGCACATTTTAACAATACGAACTCCATTAAATTGGCCTACTTTTGGAACAATCGACAACCTACGTACCTACATAGTCCGACCATAAGTTCCCGTGAATGCATTTCCGGTGATAAAGCCCAAAGTATTAGAGCTATCTGATAGAAATTTTTGTGGATGAACAAGGTATTAATCTTGTTTATAAATCATAACTTCGTTTTCACAATTTCCTCCTCGGGCTTGTACACAAGACATAAGTCGTGGCGAAAACTGCTCGATCGCGGCACGCACGGATTTCCTGGGAAAAGCGCCAGATCTTCAGTAAGTGCGACCTCAGCCCTTCCACACTTGGGTGAAATTTAGAGCATACTTGTACCTATAATTTTGACCACCAGTCATAATTTAGGGGATTAAGGTCTGCAGATACTGAGCACCGTTCTACGGATGAAAAAAAGTCATGAAATTCGTCTGAAGCCAGTTTTGGACAATTTTGCACCTTGCGCAGGAACAGGGTCTTGTTGAAAGGTCCAATGTCGATTTTCGGAGGGTCCAGGGTTCAGGTTATTAACGTTTGGCTTTAGGACACTCTGAAAATAATTCTTGGCTTCAACTTGTACCCTTTGCGGTAAAAAACAGAGATTTCATTTCTCCAGCCAACTTGCTCCCATGCACACCACGGTGATGACTTCGTATTGACTTCCGCATACTTAAACGGATGTCAGACTTCTGTACAACAAATATCTGGCCTTTTTTTCTATTAAATTTTTTGCCAACGGTGAAAAGTCTGAAATACTTTTTGCACGAAAATTGGCGCGTACCACGATCAACCTGTGGCCGTCACGAGTTATGTCTTGTCTAATTGCCCGTGGACGAAATCTTGACAAAGAAGTTATGATTTCTAAACAATATTAATACCTTGTTAATCCATAAAAATTTCGAACAGATAGCTCTAATACTTTGGGATTTATTACCGGAAATGCAGTCACGAGAACTTATGACCCCACTATGTACATGCTTTTGAAGCCTTCTAAATCTCCCAACGCCATCGTTGGTAACAACTCAAATAAAATCAAACCAGTTCGGAGCAAGCACTTTACCCAAGTCCTCTTTTTTTCAATTAATCTGCACCCTTCTTCTCCACACCTGAAACTCGTCTTAAGTATCTGGAATACGAGAACCACGCATCTCTTCATTTCTACCGATGAAACTCAACGACAAGGATAATGGCAAGGAAGAGGACCAAGGAAAGAAATTGTACAGGTAAGCTTTCTCTCGGCAACCCAATTAATTTAAATTTGCGTGGATACGCGTGGTCACTAAATCTATTTAAAAAAATTCTACTTAATTTAACACGTAGTCAATTTAAAAATAGCAGCACTTCACAGGACAGGCCAAGTTTTATCGTTCGGGTCACAGAGTATTTGTTCTCATTTTGTTTAAAATAAACCGTTGTAACGTTAGAAATAGCTCGCCCTGAGACATCATTTGAAGATAACTTGGCACCGAAGGTGCAAAACAATCGGACAAATTAGATACATAATTTTGACACAATTTTGCACCAATGGTGCACAACAACTGCCGCAAATACATATATGCATCATATTAATGTATTTATATAATTTGGCACCAATGGTGAAAAATAAGCGGACAAAAAAGATCCATAAATTTGACATAATTTCGACTTTTTCTATCTCTGGCGTGGGAACGTATTCCTACCGGTTATTCTGCACTTTTGGTGCGTATTGCATCAATTCCCCCAATTGCTTGACACCATTTTGTGTCATCGCTTATTCGGGACGAATGGAGCCATTAATATCCTAAAAAATGGACATGGTCCTATTCAATTAGCATCAATTGATGCAAAAAACTCATTAACAGACAGACGGACAGACGGACAGACAGACGGACAGGAGGAATTCAATAGCTCTCGTGCTACGCAGGACGAGCTAATAATGCATTTAAGAGGGCTTATTCCCATATCAATTGCTAAAATCTCTAGATTGAATCGAATTCTGAATACTAAAGTAAATTCTAAATTTGGATTTCCAGTATTATAGATTCCGATTTCATGCTAAGCATAATGTCAATTTTCAGAGACAGATGTATTTAGTTTTTGAGTTATAATTTTACATGAGACCGTAGAACTAATCTTAAATTAGGGAATGGTCGGTACTTAAATATTCATGTGCAGACCCATGCAGAAAATGTGTATGTCAGGCACGACGAAATTCGTATATGCAGGATTTATTATCCACAAATTATTTAAATGCAGCTAAGGCATTTCAGATTGGCATGAAAAGTTTATATCGTGTGATAGTGCATGCATTTTACCAACTGCTTAATTGGAGGCATAGTTATGAAACTTTGAGAACTTGTGCTCGAGGCTTAGCTATAAATTGAGAATTTACGACAAAAACTCGATTTTTCACAGGAAATCCAATCCACGAAAATTCATAAAGTTTTTAGATAAGGCTCTAACCTGGCATTAACTTGGTTTTCGATAAATACTTTAATACCTTTCTCCAGTCTCCAAGTAATCAGTTTAACAGAGCCATGGTTTAATTGAAAACCACTATTGGATAAGTTCAGAAAAATTAAGGGAGGATGTGTCAGCCCACTCCATCGAAACCATAGGGGGGGGGGCGGGGGATAGTCATGAACCAGTTCGAGTTAATTTTTCCCTTTCTTAAAATATTCCTCCCATCGGCAACCTATGACAAGATTACCCATTTCGAAGCGGTATGTTTAAAGGCTTGTGGTAAGAGAGAGTGCCAAAATATCAAAATATAAATGGGCATCCATGTCAAAAACACGTCACAAATATGAAAGATATTTAACGCACAAAAGCAATACGATATTGACTTTAATGTCTCACACTAGTTGACCTGGCGATTGGATGTATTGGCTATTGTTCATTAAACTCATGTCACACATTGTCGACCGTGCATAAAAATGGGCCCGATGCTACAATTTCATTTAATTTGATCCTATCTACAAAATCAAAGTTAGTGTCAATGGTAGAGCAACGCGTGCCTGAATTTGACTGATCACATACTAAATCCGCCACGTCCTTTATGCATGGTCACTGTAGCTTAAAATTCCACTAAGAAATACTTCATTTTCCAGACATGATAAACTAATCTACAACGAAGCTAATGAAATTAGTTAAGCCTCAGGCGAACAAACTGGATATAAGTTGGCGTCCTCTCCGGCCTTGCTTAAATCGTGTATTTCTTGCGTGGAATTATTATTATGCAATCTATCATGGTTATCTTATCAATAACAAGTTATTATTAAAGAGCTTATTCACTTATCATTCTTCTAATGCGTGGATATATTCGGTACAACTTTTTTAACTCGACGTCATTCAGGTTAGTATGAAGGAAATTTTTCATTCCTAAAAATCTTATATGATCCAAAATATTTGTAAATGCATAATCAATTAAGTTTATATATTTAAAATTCTTCCCACTTTAAATTAAACTTCGAATCTCATCTCATATTTATTACAAGACCGGGGTACAACGAGTGTAAAGTCATTGTATAAAGTAATTTTGAACACATGCAAAAACAAAAGTTAATATTTTTACATCCAGTTGAACGCGAACCCTCCAGCCGTCACGGAAGAATCCGTCTTGAAGATGATAATGCCAAGGCCAGAGTCAAGCACGGTTGGTGGTGGGAGTTCCGATCCGCAAACTCTGTAATTTTATCGGGAATTTAAATTTTCTTTGTTAAAAAAATTTCTTTGGTAAGAACTAGGACCCACCTAGCTTTCGAGGAGAGACCTCCCATCTCCCAAGCGAAAACTTCGACGGAATCGTAAATGCAGCCCGTGCTGCCCTCCACGTCCATTCCGGTGAAGGTCAAAGTGCGACTGCCAGCTTCAGAGGGGCTGACGATAATGACGGCGATCTCGTTGTCCCTGTACGGCTGTCCATTTCCGGGATAGGCTGTGGCTCCGCTGGCCTCGAGGTGGGTGGAATAGTGAGTGAAACCACCACCGCCGGCGTCAAGGTCGCCACTGGAGTACATCTCGAGGCTGAATCCCATGGTGGAACTAGCTCCAGCTTCCAAGGTGACGAGGACAGTTCCTGCGGTGTAAGTGTAGTTAGCGCCAACTTCGGTGCTATTAGAAACAAAGGAGATGATTAGAATTTATTTATTTGACAAAAATTGTGCCCATGCTCAAAAAGTCTCACATTTCAAAAACCATAATCTCAATCTACCCCGAACTAAGAAACAATTTAAATAAAATTTGGATAATTTCGATTTTAATCATTTCGCCGTTCTGGCGTTTATCAAAATCTTCACCTCCTTCTCACTCTGCCCCTCTCCATCATATTTACTTGTATCCTAATCATAACCCACCCTCGTAAACAAAAGTCTCAATTTGCCTCTTACACATTGTATTGATATCCTGGAGTGGCTCCGATGAAGCGGGTCAACTTGAGGTTATCTCCCATTCCAAGGCCGGATTCCTTAAGGTTGAAGCGGATTGCGTCATAGGGGGCCTGCACAGTCCAGAGACAGACCTGACCAGCTGGAATAGCTCCTCCCAGTTGGAAGTTGATCGCTGCCGAGGATGAGTTCACATACCCGCCACACGTCGTAACTAAGCAACGAAAAAAATTAAAATTTAAGAAATAAAATATGCGCCCAAGCACGACAAACCGATCAGTTTTCCAAAAAGTGTCAAGGTATCTTACCCGTGGTGACTGGCATTGGATCCTCATCGACCAAAATGGATGATGGGGCGGCTAAAAGAATAAAGTAATTAGTTATTGATTCTGTTTCAAAACTTGATAAGTTTTTAAAAAGTTGAAAGAGATCCTTAATAATTTTTAAAAACAAGAGAATTTATAGCTACACGCAGCAATTAACATAAATATAAAACTGTTCTATGCAGCCAAATCCTAACCATAAAATTCAAAATTCCCTAATCTAGAAACTTGAAAACTGAAACCAAAATTAAAATGATAACAAATGATCTCCATTCTTTAAAAAAGGCTTACCCGTCGCTACGGCAACCACCACAATAAGGAAAACTGCCAAAGTGTTCATGTTTGTAAATTGTCCTGTAACTGGATATCTCCGTGACCGACTGACTCGTTAAAAACGGGGGCATCCATTTTATACCCGGCGTTCGGGATTTCCAATCTCCCACCTGACGCAAAGCTCCATTGTTTGTTTCATCATCGATCCATTTTCAAATCACAATCAATCAACCCACGTCGCTCGCAAGCTTCGTACAATTCATTCATTGTCCGTTATATTTAAGTTGCCCCAAATGATATTAAATTTACAGTGACGGCGGAATCATGGTGACGCTGAATATGTTATAACACTGTCGGTTGAGGGGAGGGGGAGTTTTACATATTTATTTGCTAGAATGGGTAAATCACATATTTGGGTAAGAACCCCCGACGCATTCACTGGTCCGCGGCACTCCTGCTGCTCCACATTATATAATACAGGGCTTATGTATGTATGCATAGTCATAAATACGTATCTATTTATGCTTAATACCCACTCGATTCCAGATTAATTCGCGAATTAGGCCACAGTGGGGGCCGGTGCATGAAGTATGATCTCAATTTTTTCGTATAGTCCTTTGTTTGTGCCTGATTTTCCACCAGGAATACACCATATATTTCCCTTTAAAAAAATATGTGGTTATTCGAAATCCGGACACATATTTCCTCACAATGCACATATTTCGCATGCAAAACTCAGATTTTTATGGTATCAGTTTAGTTTTATGCATCACTAAATATGCATACTTATGTTCTTATGTTTTTAAGAATTTTTTAATTTCAGCGCGAATGCACGAGCTTTAACCAGCTAAAACCTCGGTTTTTTTAATCCCATAGATTTTCGAATGTTGGCACTTCAAATGTTGGAAAACACATTTCTACAAAATGATCTAATTCATTTCTTAAAAATCCACATTCGTCCAAATATTTTTTTTAAATTAATAATTTATTGACAAGGGCTAGATAGATTTTTTATCAAGCAAATAGTTCCCGAACTTTTGAATTTGCGCTAGAGTTCGAAAGTATTCAGGGAATTGAACTCCCTGATTACGAAAGCCCATTGCGAAAATCAGAAAATAGGAACATCTGACTTCTTTATTGTGGAAACAATATAAAATTTGTCCCATCAAAATCTAACTTTTACATTTGAAATACCTTCATTTAATTTACCAACACAGCATACCGTTAGCTTTCCCGTTACTCATTTTACCTCTTTAATAACACCCTTTATGCACGACCATCTATATAATTCAAATCCCAAATTTTTCCACATGCTTCATATGTACCCACGTTTAATTCTGATACCAGCATCCCGTTCAACAGTCGTCATCCTTATTTCAATTATTTCAATGGAGTATTAAAAAACACAACTCTTTTTTTATTTAGTACGAGGTCCGTTGATTGATAAGTCTCGGCATCCTGCCTTATCATTTTGCTCAATGAGGTTATCGGTGATCCATCAAATCCAGAATTTGCATTGTGTTGCTTGTGCATTTATGTATTTATATACCTCGCTTTCCTTAGCACAATTCCTACTTAAAATTTCCAGTTATACCTAGTTGGTTGTGAGGGATCCTGCATAAAAAGTGTGGCATATGTAAATTTATTATTGGAACACGTGACACAAATACACATGTATTTATTTATCGTGTTGGGGTAAAAATCCTAAGAAAATCGATCTCTGCATGCTCCCATGACAACCGACCGTAAATACGTAATTGCATAATTTTTTTACGCGTGTGCACCCTTAAAAAATAATGTCACCGGTTAAAAATGTGAATGTCCTTTTAATTTACAACTTATGTAACTAATCTGAACCAAAACCAGAACAACGTTAACTTAATAAAGAGTAAAGTTTGCTCTGGTAAAATAGAATTAGGAGTGCATTCACTTTTCAAATTTGTACTAAGATTTCTAAGAGTGTGCCTAATCAATCGGGCTTTTTACGTGATACATTAGTGTCAAGTTTTTTTATTCGATTACTTACAGAGGGTGTCCGCAGTTTATATGAACAGTATGAATTATCTTATAACTTCTGAACACGATGACTGTGAATTACTTTAGCGATCTCAATGTGTTCTCCATTCTTCCTAGCAACAAGTCTGAAGTGGTGTTTATGCTTCACGTCATCGTCACGTCCTCCTTCAAATCCGATTTTTTGATTGACTGAACGAAATTATCACTACGACAATTAAAAATTTTAACCAATCAAAAAATCGGATTTGGGGGAGGACGTTACGATTACGTAAAGCATAAACCCACCTTGAGTCTTCGTTTCCAACTTCCAAACACATTTTGACACGTTTCAGGGGAGACAAGATCCCATTCTTGATTTAGAACTTTCCAAAGCCCAACCAAAGTTCATGACTTCCACTTGAAAGTGCTTTGTTTCAGGCATCCAAACCCGAAAAAATCCATCTGACCCGTGTCAGATTACTGAATATGGACCTCGGAATAAGATGTCGAGGTCATTCCGGTTCTTTCTTATAAATCTTGGGCGTAATACTGAGTTAACCAAGCAGTATGTGAAGATGCCGCATCGTTATGGATGCAAACTTTATAAAGCTCCTCAAATTGCTTCGTTCGAATTTTGACCTCCAAAAACGTATGTAAAGCACTCTCCATAAAGTGCTTGGAGTTAATTTTTGCATTAGACCCAACAGGTATCAATTCTAGCACTCCATGGCCCGTCATTGTACCAACCACCAGAAATCAGTCAGACAGCTTTTCCTTCTTTTCAGACCCATAGTTTGAAACCTGCTTCTGGTCGTTTCTGAAGCGAATTATTTTTATCCTGTTATAGTTTTGAAGGTAGCAGAGTGCCCCGGTCAATGTGACGACAAATCCGGAGTTTGTACTTCCAACATGACCTTCAAGCAGCCTTCAACTGCTAGTTTTTTGTTTACAACATTGGATAATTTTAGTGTTCCGAATTTCGCCTTCCTAAGGACTCATTTTTCAAAGTTGTGATTTATAACACGATTAACGTGTTCAAGAGGCATCTGAGATTGTGTTGTGACCTTTGTTTGGTCGGAGGATTCTCATTGAGAGGGAGGCAGTCATTTTGCTTGAGGGTGAGAGAATTCGTCGTTTTGAGGGGTATGCATTTTTAAATGTACATTGGTCGGATTTAACTAATTACCATCGTTTTCTTGCAAAATTGATGAAGGGATATATGGGGGACACGATAAGATGGATTTCAGATTTTTGGATAATCGTTTGGGCACTTTCCGCGGCCAAATTAGCTTCTGAAACCGCTTTTACGCCTCCCCCCACTTGGGGGTCACGTTTTGGGGCCAGCTTTGCAGATAGAAATTTGAAACTTTGCACAGCTGTAGTCATGACCTTCGAGTCCGTGCTTGCCAAATTTGGCGCCAATTGGATCATCCGTTCCCAAGTTACCCGTGTAAATCTAGTGTTCATATAATCTACGGACATCCTGTACTTATGTACAAGCCTGGTAAATATATTAATTATTCATTACTGTCTCTCAATTACTTACACACTTATCGTGACATTTGCACGATAAGTGTGTAAGTAATTCAGCCTAATGAACATAGCCGTACAACAAATTTTTTTTTTAATCCATACCAAAATTTGAATGAAATTCGTACCTACCTCCCTTAACAAAAAATAAGTTCAAAAACGTTTATGGTTATTATTCATTCACCTAAAACTGCTGGTTCAAAATTAATATGCAGTAAAAAGCACTCAAAATTTTAAAATAAAAACAAAAACTTTAAGTTACTGATTGCCATTAATTAATTAGGTATCCATTCTTATTCTACTGTTTAAATGAAAATCAGATCAAACTTGAAAAAGAATGTTATCTGAATGTGCATATTTTGGAACAAAATCAAGTCATGGTAAATAAATAAATCATGTGCCAATTAACCTCTCAGATTTTTCCTGAATATTATTTTTCTAATGAAAATTATGTAGTTACGCAGTAACTATTTGATGCATTAAAAACGTAAATATGTATAACGGTGATTTGGACGCCAAGTTTTTTTGGATGGAATTATGCAAAAAATATGCAGAGCAAATACATACATACATAAACCCGAGCTTTCACGAACAAAGGGCAGTGCTGTTGTTCGACTCAAGCGAACAAAAGTGTGCATGGGGGCCCTGCATACAGGATGCTAATCCATTTCTGAATAATCTCCTTCCCAATTAGTCATCCAGCCTAAGCTGCAATTACTTAACATGGAAACGGGTTACACCCTAGCACGCAAATATTATTGAATTCTTTATGCACGGTCTCTTTAAGTGGTGAATAAATACTTATGGATCTTTAACACACCAGACTTTTAATTGAAATCTCGCATACCATGAATTTCCAATTGCTTAATTTACTTGTAAAATTCTAAAACTCAAATCTGCCAAACTTTTCAAAATCAGGTATACATACAGTTTCTTCAATTTAAAAGAATTATTGAATTATTGAATGAATGCCAATTTGGTTCCGGAACAGTTTATTATGTAAATTCAGATCCGCAACTTTCTTCTCCAACCTTTGCTAACATTACTAACTAGCGTATAAGCCCGTCTCCGCCGGTCGAGCGAGAATTATAAGCTGGAAATGTCTGTCGGCAGCGGAAGTGAAAGTAAAAAAAAAATCAAGCTTCTAGGGGAGACAATCACTCCTAGATAACCACCATCAGGTAACTACTCCTAGAGAAGCACTAAGATAAAACCACTAAGATAACTATTCTAAGACATTTAATGTTTTAAATTTAATTTATTCCAAATTTGACTGTCTCCACTTTCACTTCCGTTTCGGAAAATTACTTTCACTTCCGTTGCAGACAAACATTTCCAGCTTATAATATAGATCATTCCATATTAACGTAAAGATGTATTTGCACCACTATGTCCACACAAAAAATGCATCTATTTATGTTACACCGAGAGAGATTCTACCCTCCGTAATCGCGTGTCCAGTGGAGAACGTGTATGTCCGTATGTCCCAATAATTTACCGCTTTCCCCATAATAATAACTCCTCAATCACTGCGAAAACGGGGCGAAGATGATTCCTTCACTCTAAGAAATTGGGTGATAGGCGCTATCACCGCGCGAGTGGAAATAGCAAGCATCACCGTAATGGTGATAAACCT